GACATTGGGGTGCAGATGCCCCTTTGGATCACCACATTTGTATTTTGGGAGTAAACACCCAGTAGTGCAATTTCTGGGTCATGGAGTAGCTCTATTTTCAACTTCTTAGAAACTTCCATACTGGGGAAGCCGTATTCCCCCCTATGGAGATGGGGGAAAGCAGTCAGTTTTTCACCATTAAGTATCATTGTTTTTGGTGCATTTATAGATGTCCTTAATCAGGCTGGGGAAGTCCTCTATACCCAGTTTGTTGAGTGTTGTTGTTGTTGTTGTTTAAATCATGAAAGAGTGTTGGATTTTGTCAATTTTTTTAAAGATTTTATTTATTTATTTGACAGACAGAGATCACAAGTAGGCAGAGAGGCAGGCAGAGGGAGAGAGAGGGGGAAGCAGGCCCCGTACTGAGCAGAGAGCCTGATGCAGGGCTCAATCCCAGGACTCTGGGATCATGACCTGAGCCGAAGGCAGAGGCTTTAACTCACTGAGCCACCCAAATGCCCCTCAAATGTTTCTGTTTTTTCTGTTAAAATTATCATACAGTTTTTGTCCTCTATTCTATTAAAATGATTGAAATTTTTATGTCAAAACAACTAACTTTGCATTCCTAGGTAAATTTCACATGGTGGGTCAATCTTTTTATATATTGCTAGATTTGGTTTGCTACCATTTTGTTGGGAATTTTTGCATGTATGTTCATAAGGGGTAATGGTCTGTAGTTTTCTTTTTTTTGTGATGTCTTTGTCTGGCTTTGGCATCAGGATAGGATAATATTGGTCTCACAGAATGTTAGAATGGCCTTACAGAGTATTCCCTACTCTTCTGTCTCTAAGAACAGTCTGAAGGATTGGTGTTAATTCTTCTTTAAACATTTGGTAGAATTCACCAGTGATGCCATGTGGTCTTAGAATTTTCTTTGTGGGGGGAGCGCCTGGGTGTCTCAGTGGGTTAAAGCCTCTGCCTTCGGCTCAGGTCATGGTCCCAGGGTCCTGGGATCGAGCCCCGCATCGGGCTCTCTGCTCCTCAGGGAGCCTGCTTCCCCCTCTCTCCTTGCCTGCTTCTCTGCCTACTTGTGATCTCGCTGTCAAATAAATAAATAAATAAATAAAATATTTAAAAAAAAAAAAAAGAATTTTCTTTGTGGGAAGTTTTTGGATTACTAATGCAGTTTTTCTCCTTTCATAGGTTCACCCAGATTTTCTATTTCCTCTTCAGTCATTTTCTAGGAATTTGCCCATTTCATCGAGGATATCTGATTTATTGGCATACAATTATTCATAACACTGCCTTACCATCTTTTCTATTTATGTAAAGTTGGTTGTGATGTCCCCTCTTTGATTCTCAATTTGAGTAATTTGAGCCTTTTCTCTTTTTATCCTCATCAGTCTAGTTAACGATTTGTCAGCTTTGCTGACCTTTCAAGAAACTAACTTGTGATCTTCTTAAGTTCTCTTTGTTGATTTTCTTATCCCTATTTCATTTATTCCCACTCTGATCTTTATTATTTCCTTCCTTCTGCTAGCTCTGGGTTTGGTTTACTTTTACTTTCCAGATCTTAAGGTGGAAGAATTAAATTATTGAACTGCAGTCTACCTTTCCTTTTTAACACAGGTGATTACAGCTATAAATATTCCTCTACTTTAGCTGAATCCCACAAATTCTGGTATGTTGTGTTTCATTTTTATTCATCTCCAAATACTTTTTGATTTCTCTAATTTCTAATTTTCTTAGTTCCTTTAAAAAATATTTTATTTATGTATTTATTTATTTGAGGTGGGGGTAGGAGTGGAGGGAGAGGGATAAGCAGATTCTGCGCTGAGTGCAGAGCCCAACTCAGGGCTTGATCCCACGACCCTGAGATCATGACCTGAGCCGAAATCAAGAGTCAGATGCTTAGCTGACTGAGCCATGCAGGTGTCCCTCTAATTTTCTAATTTAAAATTTTCTTTTTAAAAAAATATTTAATTTATTTATTTGTCAGAGAGAGAGAGAGAGAGAGAGAGAGAGAGAGCACACAAGCAGGGAGAGCAGCAGGCAGAGGGAGAAGCAGGCTTCTTGCTGAGGAAAGATCCTGATGCAGGACTTGATCCCAGGATCCTGGGATCATGACCTAAGCCGAAGGCATATGCTTAACCGACTGAGCCAACCAGGTATACCTGATATTTCGAATATTCGAATATTTCTAATTCCAAAGTATTTTCTATTTTCTCACCATCTCTTCTTTGAGATAGCAGAGTTGTACATGTGTTCAGTGGTTAAGAAATACATAAATAGTATTGTAAATATGGATCAAGTTGGGACAAAGTTGCATTTTTGAAACAAAAGTTACAGCAGAATGGGCTGTACAACATGGTCACAAGGCACCTGCCATCACGCCCCAAAATGTTATCAGTCAGCTCCCCACATCCAGTGCATAGAATGTTCTCCAAAATGTACCTCCAGGCCACCTACTCATCCCCACCCCCAGGTCCTTAATCCAAGCCACCATACTTGTCAGTCTGGGAAAACTGTAACAGTCTCCTGAGTTCTCACTCTGTCTTTCTTGCCTCCTACAGTCTGTTCCCCATGCAGTGAGCTTTTTTAAAATGAGAAATCACCAATCTGATTATGTCTCCCTCCTGTTTAAAACCCTCCAATGGCTTCCCAATCTGATGAGAACCCTTTCCCATGGCCTATCAGATTTGAAATGAATTGATCCCCTCCATCTCCTGACTCACTACCCCTCACTGACTTATGACCTCCCCATTCTTTATGCTCCAGCCATATCCAGTGACCCTGCTATTTCTTTAAAATGAGTTTCCATCCCAGGGATTTTGAATTCTTGATATTTTCTTCCCTTTTCCCTCATTATTCCAACCTTGGCCCAAATGTCACCCTCTCAGAGAGACCTAGAGTGACCAGAGCTTCCTGCATGGTCCAGACACTTCCCGTATATAGTACTGAAAGCATCACGTCCTGGAAAACCTCATAATCTCAAGCCATCCAGGATTGTTGGTCACCCCTGAGTACTCCATCCGAAAACCCCCTACCCAGTCATTGCCTGAGATGCTATTATATCACTTTTCCTATAAGCATGAGAATTGTGTCCCTAGCACCTAGAATGGTGTCTGACAAATAGTAGGCACTCAATATTTTTGGCTAAATTAATAACTGAAGGAAAAAAAATAACTGAAGGAAAGGAACTGATTCCTGGAGTCCTAAGCTTAAGACTCCATCACATAAAAATCTGAAAGAAGCAACCTGTTAGAAAGCAGCTAAATCAATTCTTCAGGCAACCATCGGCATTTTCATTAAAATGAATAGACTAGGAAATATCAAGCATTCCCTAAAGTATCATGTTATGGAAATTTTTAGTTATTACGTGTTTGTTTGGACTGAGCATTTGGGTCAAATGCCTTTCTTGCTGTGGCCTTGTGGTCAAAAATGTTTGAAAACCACCCAACTACCAGCCAAATGCATGGGCTTTGGTACCAGACTGAGGGTCTGAAGCCCTTGCAAGCTGTTTGGCACTGTGCAAACTCACTCATTCCTTCCAGACCTCAGTTTCCTGATCTGTACTGTGGGGATAGTGCATGCACATTTCTTGGGATATGAGTGTGACATTAAACTGAGTTAGCATACCAAAAAAATGCTTAGATCAGTTTCTGGCACCTAAGAACAATTTAATCAGTGCTCACTAATATGATTACTCGTTGAGTGAATGAATGAATGGATGACTGAATGAATGAATAGGTCCGAGGTCTAATCTTCCTTGAAATTGCCCTGCCTGTTTCTTTCCAGAACGAGTTTTCTCTCCAGCCCCTTCTCCTGAATAACTATATATGTTTGTTTACTCTGTTTATTGTCAATGTCCCGGGATGAGAATAAAATCTCCAGGAGAGTGTGGGTTGTTTATCCTATGCAGGGCTGAACCTACCATCTGGGGCGGGGGGGAGGGAAGAGGGTTGGCAAACATTTTCTGTGAAAGGCTGGATAGTAAATATTCTAGGCTCCGCTTATGTCATTCCATCTTTGAGCAACGAATTAACTCTTCAGTGCTCAGCTCTGTCCGTGGATTGTGAAAACAGCCTCTCAAATTCTCTTAAAAGATGGGCCTGGCTGCGTTCCAATAAAACTTTATTCACAAACACAGGCAGACATAATTTGGCCCAAGGGTGTGGTCCGCCAACCCTTAAAGATACTAAAAATACTGGATTCAGTAATGCCCAGAATTTCACACATTTTTCACCTGCCACTGAAGATTCTTCTTTTGGTTGTTTAAAACCTCTTAAATCTTTTTTTTTTTAAGGTTTTATTTATTCATTTGACAGAGATCACAGGTAGGCAGAGGCAGGCGGGGGGTGGGTGGGCAGGCTCCCCGCTGAGCAGAGAGCCTGATGCGGGGCTCGATCCCAGAACCCTGAGACCCCTGACCTGAGCCGGTCAGAGGCTTTAACCCACTGAGCCACCCAGACGCCCCTGTTTAAAACCTCTTAAAACATATTTTAAAACTCCCAGCTTGTGGTCCATGAAAAACAGGCAGCGGGCAGAACTTGGCCCGCAGGTCGGAGTTTGCGGACCCCAGACTGAGACTATGCCGGGAAGTCCTGAATAATCGAAGGCCCCATTGGTGTCGCCGAAGTTTAGCCTTCCGGGAGCAGCGCCACCCACCGGGAGCCGCGCGCGCTTCCCGCTAGCCAACTCTCCGAGCCCCGCGCGCCTCCCGCCAAGCCACGCCCTCCCTCGCGGCTATTGGTCAAGCCTCGCCCTCATCCTCGCCAGGGGCACCCCCTCTGACGGACACTGCGGGCAACCAATGGGGTACCGCAGGGCCTCCTCGAGCCCGAGGGAGGCGGGCGTAGGCGGGCCGTTGAGGGGTGGGGCGTGGAGCCTGGTAACCGTTGCCGGTAACAACGCCCCGCCCCATCGCGGCGGGCGGGCTGGCGGGCGGACTGGCGGGCGGGCGCGCGGGCGCGCGAGGCAGGCCGGCGGGCGGCGGGAGCGGGAGGAGGAGCGGTCGCCGCCGCCACCGCCGCCGCCATAGAGACTGTAGCCGTGGAGACTGTTACTTACCAACGGGGACCAACACGCAGCCGCCGCTGCTACCGCCGCGGGAGCCGCTGCCCGAACTCCCGGCCCGAACTCCAGGTGACCGATGCGACCGCCCGGGGCCCGGCCCGACCGGGGAGTGCGGGGGGCGGCGGGGATCCGGATCGGGGGTCGGGACGTTCACCCCAAACGTCCGGGGTGGCGCGCCCGTGGGACCCGTCTCTTCAGCCCAGTTCCGCAGGCGCGGCGGAGTTTGGGAGAGTCTGGGAACCACCCCCCGACCTTTTACCCAAACTTGGGGGCAAGTGGGAACCGTCGCCTCACTTTTCAGAAAACTTCCTGAGTTGGGGGCCCCCGAGATCCCTCTCTCACTCTTACCCTCTCACTCTTACCAAATCCCCGACTTGGGTGTGCCCCTGGACCCCTCAAACTTTTATCTTCAAACTCCCTGAACTGGGGCTCCCGGGAACCTCTTCTTACTTTACCCTCAAATCCTTAAGTGGGGGCGCCCAGGGACCACTCTCTCACTTCCTCTCAACTTCTTGAAACATCTCAACTCCCTACCTTAAACTCCTGGAATTGGGGCTCCTGCAGCCCCTCTTATCTTTTACTCCCCAAATCTCTGAAATTGGGGTCCCCGGGGCCCCTCTTTCACTCCTAACCTCAGACTCCTGAATCGCGAGGGCCCGGAAGACTCGTTTTCACTTTTGCCCCCAATTTCCTGGATTTGGGGTGTCTTGGGGACCGTCTTCTCATTCTGACGCCTCCCTCCAGAATTGTGAGCTTGAGGGCTCCCGTGGAACCGGGTTCTCACTGTTTACCCAAAAGTCGATGAGCTTGTCTTGGGGAAAACGCCCCCCTCCCTTACTCGCCCCAGACTCACCGAGAATCAGACTCCCCTGGGACCCGTTTCTCACCTCTTTACCAAAAATCCTCGTGGTTAGGCTCTTCGGACCCTCCTCCCCTCTCTCCCTTTGAGCCCCACATTCCAGAGTTTGGGGGATCCTGTGTCCGCCAGGGCTTGCACCCCGCTCGGGAAGCCCCTTCGCGCGGCCGCCGCTCCCTATTTGGACTGATCTCCAAGCGAGGAGAGTTTCCCCAGAAGTTGTGTGTGCGTGTGCGCGTGTGCGTGTGTGCGTGTGTGTGTGTTTTAAAGTATTGACTTATTTTGTTTAAAGAGCCCAACCTGTGGCCCAAAACTGCTCGGTGACATTTTCTCCTGGGATTGTGTGAGTGCGTGTCTGTTTGTGAATTTGAACCCCACCCCTAACTCCCCCTTCCCCCCAAGCGCGCTGGGCACACAGAGACACACAGACACCCCCCCTCGGCCCCCAAATACGCTATTCCTTTCCCCTCCTGAGAGAAGCCAGGGGCTCCCTCCCCACCGGTCCCTGTGGGCTGTTTTCGTGGCTGCACTAGGAAAGTTCGGTTTCCCCGATCCTAGTGGCTATTTCAAGGGCCCCTGGGGCCGAGGTGCCCCTGCCATTCCAGCGGAGGCGGGGGTGGTTCACCGTCCTAATTTTAACCTCCTGGTTGCCCTGCAGGAATGAGGGAGAGAGTCCAGGTCGGCGTTCTCCATAGACCTCCTGCGGGCTTCTGGCTGTTTTCAGGGTGCAGCCCCCAGCACACAGGCACGCGCATAGCACAACTATTTCTTGCCCGGTGCGATTAACCGGCGGTGCAGACTTTCCTGAGTTTTTTTCCCCTCCCAGCCAGCTTTATCTCACAAATCCAAAATATCAAACCTTATGTAAGACTCTCGGTTTCAACTAAGACTCCCCCAACTAAATAATTATGCTAATAATAATGACCCAAAAAGCAACACCAAAACCTTTCTTTTTTTTCCTGCGCATGTTGTCAATACGTTTTTATCCCTTGTCTTCATGCTCTGAAACACTGTGTGCTTCTGTAAAGACCCTTACCCTCCATCCTGGGAGTATCAGGGCTGGCTACCGGTTCTTTCTCCCACTCGAGTTTAAAAATGTGAACCTGCTCCAGAATAATGTTAGAGACAGCTTATCACCTACCCTTGCCAGAGAGGTGAGAGTGTGGTGAGAGCCTCCCCTCCCTCTGCCTTCCCCTCCCACCCCCTTCTCCCTGCTCCGCCCCCCCCCAAACCAAGAATCCAGTCTCTTTAGTCACTGATCACTGCTATCTTGGCCAGCCAGTGAGCTTGGTAAATACCAGAGGGGACCGGGTAGTTTTCAAAAAAAGATTTCCGATACATGATGGACAAGCCGACTGCTTCTGTGGTCCTGTGCTATTCGGCTGGTTTAGGCTGGGAGTAAGTTCAGATACAGTTTGCTTCTGCAATAAAAGCAAAACTGAATTATTTAGCCTTTAGTACATTCCTCTTTTGTGCCAGATAAACTCCAAAGGAGCATCTGGGAGCAGGGGGACAGTTATTAATTACACTAAGCAACAGAATGAGTTCTTTGAAATTCCACTGATATTTGCACTCTGCGCTAAGGACATACATTACCTCTTTTTTCAAAGATTTTATTTATTTGAGAAGGAGTGCACGAGCAAGGCAGGGGCAGAGGGAGAGGGAGAAGCAGACTTTCTGCTGTTGGGCTCGATCCCAGGACCTTGAGATCATGACCTGAGCCATGGCTCCATCCCAAGACCCTGAGAGCATGACCTGAGCTGAAGGTGGCTGCTTAATCGACTGAGCACCCCCAGGCGCCCCAGGACATACATTATTACCTTAATATTCAGCTTTTAGCATGTTTCTCACTGAAGCATGGCCGGGTTGGGGCCAGTCACCAGAAATGCAGATGCTGGGAAATATCTCATTCCTTTGAGCTAATTTGTACTTTCAGAGTGAAGTTAAAATTAATTCTTATTCATCAATATTTAATTAATTGAACTTTGGTTAATGTTATAGCTGAGTCAAAATTTGGAATGTACCGCTGGGATTTTTATAGACATTTGCAGTTGTTTTCCTCGTAAAATTCCAGGGCCAGTAGGAACCGTATCTTATCACTTTGACTCTTTTTAATTAACTGCAAGGTGACCACTTATTTAAATAATGTGCCCCCCTCCCCTGACACCTGCTTATTTGTAAAATGTGAACTATTTGAAAGACAAGGAAAGCCTTGCCAGACTTGGGAGCCGAAGGTGTAAGCCCCGAGGCACCCCGCAAACACATCCGCATTTCTGCTCAAGGCATTTCCGCTCAAGGCTGTATGGACATTCCACCCAGTGGGCCCGTAAGGGCCAGAACCTGGATCCAGTTCGGGTCCGATTTTATCTGTGCCAAATTGACAAAAAATTTTCCAGTTTTCAGAGCCTTTTGGAGATCGGCATTGTTATAAGGGATTGTAGACTGATGTATTTAAAAAGCCTTTGGGCTCCCTCTCTGTTATTTGAAGGATGAGTCTCTACATCCCAGCCCAAGTTCTCTAGACACGTGCCTGGCACCGGGAGTGTCCTTCCTTTGCTGAATGAGTGAATGAATGGAGTATGCGCAGGGAATGACAGAGGATACTGACAACCACTGACATGCTTCTTGGAGACCTCAAGAGCAGCAAGGGAATTCTTACAGGGGGTGAGGGGGCGAGGGGAGAAGGGAAGGAAGACCCAGGCTCTTCCTTGAAGAGAATCAGGGGTGCGTGGGGTAAGAAGTAGGTGACAGAGGATGGGGAGAAGAGCCAGGGAGAGAGCCCGACAGGTCTGGGGATCATCTGGGCCTGGGAGACATGGTCTGCCTAGGAGAACGAGGAAGATCTTTCTGGTAGATGGATTTCTGACTGCCCACCTAAGCGCAAGATGGCCAAACCGAGCTCCCCATGGGCCCCTCAATCTGCTCGTCTGCCCTGCACCCCGTTAGTGAAGACCCGCAGGCTTCTCCTGGCGGATGAAGCCAGCTTGGGCGTCCGCCTCTTTTCTCGCGAACCATCAGCAAATGGTCCAACCGCACCCGATCAGTGGCGATCTGCAACCTGACCGTGCCTCACCACCTCCACTCTCAGTCCCCGCTCCAGGCCACCAGCCCCTCCTGGCCGGATGGATGAATGGATGGCCCCGGCCTGTTTGTTAGCCAGGTGGGGGTGGAGGAGGGGGTCATATTACCTTCCTTGTGTTTCCCTCAGCTCAGAACCCTCCCATGGCTCCCGTCTCACAGTCTCACCGAGCAAAGGCCAAAGTCTCTTCCCACCCCGGGCCTCTCCACCCCAGTCCTCTGTGGCCTGCCTCATCCCTGACACTGAACTTGCTCCTTGCTCAGCTTCAACCCCGCAGGCCTCTTGGGAGTTCCTCAAGCTTTCTGCCTAGAAAGCTCTTCACCCAAGTAAAGGTGGGGGGGTTGCTGCTCCCACCCTGTCTTCAGGCCTTTTCTCCAGTGTCACCTCCCCAGGCCACCCACTCAAAAGCGACACCCACTTAGTCTCCTCCCCCGCTGTCTTTTTCCTTAGCCTTTATCACTCACGAGCGGGACGTGATGACATAACGCACATTTATTTTTATTATCGCCATCTGGCCCCCATTAGAAGGGCAGCCCCTTAAGGGGAGGAAGCTGTGCGCGATTTATTAACTTCTCTTTCCTCCGGGCAGAGCACGATTCTGACGCCGAGTAGGTTCTCAGTCAGTATTGGTTAAATGAATAAATAAACGGTCTCCTGCCCACCCGTGGGGGAGGCTCACCTAGAAATGGACAGTCGCTCCTTACCTTCCATATGTCGCTGCCCCTGCATCTCGGAACAGCCTGGATAGGACCGAGAAGGGCTCGAGTGCGGTGTCTCTGCTGCTTAGCCCAGGGGGCTGGGGTGCCGGGCGCTCCAGGAAACACGCGGCGCCTGTGAACGAGGTAATCACACCAGCAGGGCTGCTGGATGAGAAGTACTGTCTGTCACCCGGTATCACCGGGCCTGGTCGCAAGTCAGTGGTCCGCAAAGACTGGCCGTTTGCTCTTTTCTCACCGTTGTTACTATTCCGGAGCAAACGAGCTGTTGCGGCCTGGGGATGGTGTTCTCGGGTTTTCTGACCCATGCGAGTGCCCACGGGGCATTAGGAAACTGTGTTTTGCCTGATGGAGCTGATGAGCCTCCCCTTTCATTCCCGGGGGCAGGGAAGGGGGTTCAGTGTCCTTCTGTGAGTGT